CATGCCTGGCGGGGGGAGGGAAGGAGGGTCCATGGGTGTCCAGAGGCCTGCTGGTATCTGCACGTAGGTAGTGCCTGTGTTGCAGGCCCTGACAGATATTCTCTCTAAGACATGATGGGATTTAATTCACAGTCCTAACAATTGTACCTCCTGCCATGCCACACTTGACTGTCAGGATGCATGACTCTGGGATTGTGACTTACCTGTTGGTACAGGGGGAGCCTGGCATCATGAGCCCAGGCTTCTCCTATACCAGCAACATGAAATCAGCTGATTGTCATTTGGGGCTGGGAAGTGGGAATCAAACCATTCTCCAGCCCTAGTCAATAACTGGCTGATTGTCAAAACTCCAGCTGGGAGGCAAAAGGAACCTGGGACTGGGCTGCTGCAGCCCAGCGCTGGGCTCCCCATGCACCAGGACTTGTCTAAACTCTGTGCTGCCCAGATGGGTAGCACACATGGTTTTTACTCATCCCTAGGCAAGAGAACATTGCGATCTGGCTGCAGCAGCCCAATCACCAGGTACCCTTGTACCAGGACCTATAAAACCGTGTGTGCTGCCCAGTTGGCACAGATGACGACATGAATTTCATAGACATTAGGGCTGGAAGGGACCTCGGAAGATCATCGAGTCCAGCCCTGCACCCGAAGGGCAGGAAGTCAGCTGGGGTCATAGGAACCCAGCAAGATAAGCATCCAATTTACTCTTGAAGTGTTCAATGTAGGTGCTTGAACCACCTCCGATGGCAGGCTGTTCCAGACCTTGGGGGCTTGGACAATAAAGAAATTCTTCCTTATGTCCAGCCTGAAATGGTCTTGCAGTAGTTTATAACCATTTAACCTCATCATCCCTTGGGGCGCTCTGGTGAACAAACATTCCCCCAGGTACTGGTGGTCACACCTAATAAACTTATAGGTGGCCACCAGATCACCCGTGAGCCTGCACTTTTCCAGGCTAAAGAGGGCAATGACTCTCAGCCTGTTGTCGTAAGGTCTGTTTTCCTGACCTCTGATCATGTGCGTGGCTCTTCTCTGGACTCTCTCAAGCTTCTCCACATCCTTTTTGAATTCTGGAGCCCAAAACTGGGTGCGGTACTACAGCTGCAGCCTCACCAAGGCCAAGTACAAGGGGAGAATGACGTCCCCTTGGCTTTCCTGGTTTGCTCCCTGCAGGACCGGACCAGTGCAGAATATTCCTGCTTGGAGGTGAATCCCATCCTCCATCCTTTGTACGCCTTTCTTTTTAGCCTCAGGAGGTCTGCTAGATCCCTGGAGAGCCAGGGGGGCTGTTGTGCCCACTTGCTGCCTTTCCTCCGAGATGGAATAGAATTAGCTTGTGTATTGAGGATCGCTCCCTTGAGGAGCAACCACTCTTCCTGAACTCCCCTCCTCCTGGGGCTGTAGTCCTTTAGGGCCTCACTGACAAGCCTCCTGAGCTTGTAAAAGTCGGCTTTCCTGAAGTCAAGGACTTCCGTGTTGCTGACTGACTTGCCAGCTTTTCGGCGGATGGTGAAGGTGATCAGCTCGTGGTCGCTGTCACCCAGCTTCCCATCGATCACTAGCTTGCCGATTATGTCATCCCCAGTAGCCAGTACCAGGTTGAACAATGCTTTACCTCTCATTGGCCCATAGACTTGAGTCAGGTAGAGTCATCAACACACGATAGGAAGCTTTGCGACCTCTCGGATTTTGCTGAGTGATCCTCCCACAAGATGTCTGGGTAATTGAAGTCACCCATGACAACCATGGTCCTGGAGCATGCAGCCTCAGCCAGTTCCCAGGCAAACTCCTGGTCAAGCTCTTGACTTTGGGTGGGAGGTCTGTAGTAGACTCCCACTGTTGTGTCCCCTGTGCCATGTTCCCCACAGATTTTAACCCAGAGGGTCTTCAGTCGTCCACCCTGGTCGCCAACATCAGCTTGCAGGGATGCGTAGCTTTCCTTAACATAGAGAGCTACACCCCTGCCCCTTTTATCTACTCGATCTCTCCTGTACAAGGTATAGCCATCTATACCCATGGTCCAGTCATGGGTGGAGTCCCACCAGGTCTTTGTTATCCTTATGACATCGTAATTATTTGTGTTAAGCAGGAGGATGAGTTCCTCCTGCTTATTCCCCAAGCTCCTGGCATTTGTGTACAGGCAGGCAAGTGTCCCCTTGGGGGCTCTTGCCTTGCCCACAGATTGTACCAGGGCTGGGGCAGGGGTGGGCTCCCTTAAGTGCCTTGGCCTGCTGGCTTTGCAAGGGTTGCTCAGTGGGCCAGCAGTGGCGGTAGTCCCCCGTCCCCCGGTGGGCTTAGTTTAAAGTCTGGTGGAGCCGGTCAGCCAGTCTGGCTGAGAAGAGCCTCCTCCCCAGGGGAGAGAGGTGGAAGGCATCTCTTCCCAGCAGCTCTCTGCCTCTCTCATCAAAGAGCGGGCTGTGGTCATGGAAGCCAAAGCCTTCCTGATGACACCAGCACCACAGTCTTTGATTAACTATCTGGATCCTCCTCTCCCTCCTCAGCCCATAACCTGAGACTGGGAGGATCGAAGAGAACACCACCTGTGCCCCCAGACCCTTTAGCCCCACTCCCAAATCCCTGTAGCAACTCATGACCCAGCTGGGAGCACTCTGAGCATGATGCAAATGAGCCACAAAGCTATTCCACATTACATTACATGTGGAATAACTTTGTGGCTCATTCACTCTATTACCACACCTTAAAGTGATTTATCCATGTGGTCAGATTACTATTTAAAGGGTAATTAGCCTGTTAATTACATGTTAAATGTAACATGTCAGGGGCTGTAGAAGCAGGAATGCTGTCTGTATATGTGGGCATGGATGTGAGCATTGTAAGAGTTCCACTTATGCTCTGTCCTAGCGCTAAGAAACTTTTACTAGTGAAAGTCACACACTGACACAGGTGCACAAAAACCTTTAATTTTAAGAAATCAGCATGTTATGTCAAAATAATACATTGTGTTAGAAAATTTGCAACAAGTTCAAGTGATGGATGTGCATGTCAGCATGTGTACCTTAGGCACATATCCCCTAGAGACCAGAATCTGCCATGTTTGGGTCTTCAGACAGTAACACTCATGCAACCAGAGTACACAAAGCTACTTTTGGTGTGAGTGAGTGCAACGGGCATACTTAATGAGTCCAGATCTTAGTCCACCAGTTAGATGCCTAATTGTGACTGTATACCAGCTCAAGTTCCTGACAAAACATCACTCATCTACTTGTGTAATGCTTCATCATCTTAGTATTAAGACAAGTCACAAGAAGCAATGAGCAGGAGGAGCCCTTGAGCAGGATGGAATAGGATTATATATAGGTGCTTATGTCCACTAGGTGCCTATTAGGTGGAGCAGAATCTGGCTTGATGGTGTTTTACATCCCCTGGGCACAGGTGTGAGTGGCATACAGGAGGCCTAGCATGAGAGAGTTCACATAAGCTGTTTCCATTCCTGGCCAGTTTAGGATTCAAAATAACCAGGTGCTGATCTGAACCCATTCTCCTTGTGTTTGGGGTTCTGCTCACTATCTCCATACCTGTATTCATTTTTTTTCCCTTAGCACTGTTCCAGCATGAAAATGGATACATTCTAGCACTGCCATGGGGTATATTCTGGAGCCTGTGCAACCTGAGCTGCTAATCACTGCATGTTTAACTCTGAGCCCGCAAAACAAACTTCAGCCTGACATTTCCATTTGTCAAGCTGTGATCCGACTGTGTGGCTGAGAATCCACAGCCGACCGCCTTCCCCCCCAAGGGAATCACTGTCAAAGGGTTTTGACTCATTCCAAATGCACCAGTGGGTTGCATCAACATCCAAATCCACCAGCTCCAAAGAACTGAGTGATTCAATGTCTCTGTGAGAGCAGCATTTAGGGGCTGATTCCCTGGGGTATAAATTTCCTCTTAACAGAACTGGATAAAAAAACTGCAGCACTTATCCAACAGCTCTCCCTCTTGGCTTCCTGACTGTGATCTGTTCCTGGATTATTATGGCAGAGCTAACAAACCCAAATATTCACAAATCATGAGTTTGTCCTCCCTAAATCAGGAGACCACTTAAAAATCCACCATTAAACCCCCCTCCCCCCCACAAATTTAAAGGGTATTTTTCCCCCAATTTCTGATGATGAAACATTTAGCATTTCCATGTCAAGCTTTTTTTCAACTGATAAGACTAAAATTTAACTTTTTTAAAGATAGCTAAAATTGTACCTTGATCACATGCCTCCAAGAATTGGAGCTTAAAGAAAATAATTTTACTGCTGGATACATTCCAAAAATGGAAGTATAAGGACGAAATGTAACCAAAAGGGAGTTGAAGATATCAGAGCAAATGTTCATAGAAAAGTTGGGGTGGAAAAGACCTCAGTAAATGATCTAGTTCAACCCTCTGATCAAAACAGGAACATCCCTATCCAAACCAACCTGTGTGAATGTTTGTCTGACCTGATCTTTTTAGAAACATCCAGCGATTGATGTCACAGCCTATCTAGGCAATTTGTTCAGAACCAAACCATTCTGGTTATGGAGAGCTTTTCCAAAGCATGAGATCTTCTGTGCTGCTGAGTGTTCATGTCCTGACACCAGAGCACTTGCACTTGGGGACCTGTCCCCCTACTCCAGAAGAATTTCCTGAAATAAACAAAATCTTTACTGCAGCTGAAAATCACACTGCTAAGGAGAAGACCTAGGCCACTTCGACTTGGGCATGAGTAGTAGTTACCAGTGAATGTAGTCATAAAACTAACTGCTACTGATGCCCAAATCTATTGCTGCTATGTAACATATAGCCCATTTTGCTAGGCATTCTCCATACACACAGCAATCAGCAATGTGTAGGATTTTTCTCTGCAGGAAAGGGCTCAGGATGAGAATGCTGTGGCTCATGGTAACAGAGTTCTGTGGAGTGTTGATGGGTGTTGATGGCTGAGTTTCCTGTCTCTTGTGGACCACTGTGAATAAAGCAGAACTGAAATGTTGCTCTGTTGGCTTTGCAGATTCAAGCAGCAGCCCATGACTCAACCTGTATAAATCAAGAGAGGATCTGAAGGCAGCATTGGGAAACTTCCACAAAGAGACTGGTAGGTTGCATCTGGGATGGCCAGGATCATTGACAGCCCACGGAGCTTATATATCTCACCATTTTCCTTACTGCTTGAGACCCTAATTCTTCAGTTTTCTCTGAAAAGGAATAGCAGTTTAAAGCAGATTGCACAAGGGACAAAAGTCGTCTCCCAGAGAAGACGGGACAGACAGCTCCCTGGACAGGCCCAGCCACCTCAAACAAGAATCCTCAGTCACGGGCACAAGGAGAATATGTGTAGCTGAGAAGAGTGAACACTGTCTGCAATTTGCTGGCACATGATGGGAATAACAGGATCTAGTTGGGACAAATTAGGAAGAATATCTCCCATCAGTGGATTGCTAATAGTTTATGAAGTTGCAATTATATACTGCACTGAGTAATGTGTAGCTCTAAAAGGAGTTTCATACCTCAATCCAGTTTGGCACTAAGTTAAAATAGCTCCTCATTATCTCCTTTGTAATATTTATTTAGCAGAAGTGTTCTGAGTATGGCATTGAGCAATCTTGTCACACACACAGTAACTGGGGCCCTTCAAAATCATTCTCTTCTAGTTTTAATCAGCTTCTTATTACTCCATTGGGAGGGAAATAAACTTGTGAGCTGCAATGATCATTGCTTGGTTATAGGGAAAACCTCAATTGCAGGGGAAAGTCTGGCATTTCAGGACCATTTTCTTTTGAAGCTGGGTTAAAAACTGGAATTTGTGGAGTCTCTCATGGAAAGAGAATTCTCAAAATTGTTCATTGTAGAAACTATGAGCAATTTCCACTTGATTTTTCAGAGCAAAACTGGAAGCTCTGGCTGTCCTGGCTCCCCAGCAATGACAGACCACCTGGGCTGTTCCTGGGGAACTGGGGGTAGCTGAGAGACCTGAGCATCCCATTCTTAAATTGAGGCTCTCAGGGCTTCCAGGCTTCCTGCTATGGAGGATGGAGCTGAGACCTGAAGGGTATGGGCAATCCATCTCCCAGCATCAATCATCAATCCAGAGCATAACATGCTGATTTGTGCCAAAATCATGTGTAAGCTAATGATGCTGCCTTGACATATTCCTAAGTGTGCTAGAGACTGATCTTGAGAGTGAGCATGAATGGATGTCCCCACAGTAGCTTCACTGCTGCATTTCTGTGTTTGGCACATGCAAGCAGGAGTGGGTTGGAGAGGCATGCCTGGGTAGCATCCTTGCCAGTGTAGGATGGAAGTCATGGTGCAGACACACCTCAACTGCCATGTTGGAACCAACAATTCTAGGATTTCTAGGATCCCAGCTCCACATGACAGACAGCCTGTGTACCCTGGCTCTAGCATAGCATAATAAAGCTACACATGGGCATGGAGTTTGAAAGCCCAGGGTCTGGAACAACCCATCTGATTCTCTGATGGGAAATGAGGCAAATGCCAATCCTTACCATCCTGCTCAGAAAAGACAAACAGCTTAGTCAAGGCCTTGTTACATGGTAACTTTAGGCAGCTTCTGGAGCTCTTAATCCCTAGACTTGCTACACATAAACACCTTTTAAATGGCTTAAAGCACTTGTTATTGGATTTAATGTTATGCGAATCCAGGGCAGGATTATCTCTAGTCTGCCTAATGTTGCTTCTGTTCCATTGAAGTGTGGTCACTCTCTATAGCAGGCAGTAGGCCCTCCTGATTCAGGGTGAGTGGGGACACAGGGGCACAGCAGGTCTGGGCATATCAGCTCACCCTCCTGGGCACATCTGGCAGAAGCCCCTGAGCATTTGGGACTGTGGTGCCTCTCACCACTGCTCAGAGCAGCCCTGCTCCCAGAAGGAGCAAAGTGAGCCAGTCCAAGCACGGGGCTGGGGGGTGGGGTGGGAAATGCACTGCCTCCCTGCCATTCCACCATTTCTTGGACTGGCTCTGTTCCCAGAAGGAGCAAAGCAAGCTGGTTCCAGTAGCCGCAGGGAGGTTGTGCCCTCCCTTCCCCCCACTCAGATTGGCTCAGTCTGCTCCCAGTGGGAACAGAGCCAGTTCAAGCAGTGGCAGGAGGCTCCAGGGCTGTAGCACTTGTTCTGTCCAGTGGAAGCAGCAAGACTATCCTTGGCCTAACTCATGGTGGGCAAAATATGGCCTCTGAGCTGGATCTGGCCCCCCAAAGAATTCTATCCAGCCCTTGGTGGGTCCTTCAGGCCCACCCAGCCCAGGCACAGGGGTCAGCCTGGGCCATAGTGCACGCAGCCAGTCCCATTGTTACCGGGCACATGCTGGGGTGGGAGTGGTGCAGTTGTTGGATTTGGCTTCCCAGCAGCCTCCACAGTGGTAGCTCCCTCTGTCTGGCTGCCACTACCAGTATGTCTGCAGCTGCCACCAGACCCAGCCCTGCTACCCAGGCACCTCGGCCCATCTACCCTACACCCATCCCTGGGGGCACCAGATGGATTGGGTGGGCAGGATCTCCATAGTGACTGGCCTGGAGACCCCTGTTGGGAGGGGTCACTCAGCCAGGCAGATAGGATGAGCCTGCAGGTGGGCAGGGAGTGGTGTTTGGGAGTGGGACTGGCTTGTGAGGCTAGGGTATAGCAGGGTGGTGACAGCACAGGGCCAGGGCCCAGGGCAAAGCCACAGTCTGCTCCCCAGATGTCCCTGCTAGCAGAACTGGTGCCTGTCACAGGGATGTACAGGGACCGGATCATGGCTCTGCCCTGGACCCAGGCCCAGACCCCATGCTGTCACCATCCCACAATCCCAGCCCCAGCCCCAGCCCCAGCCCTAGACCTGGTGCCAGCCCCAGTTGCCCATCCTGCTCCTGGACACCACTCCTTAGTCACCCATAATCCAATCCTATTCATCCAGCTGAGCATGTCGTGCCCATGGGGGGCCTTGGCTGGTCTCCATGGTCTCCATCCACCTACCTGCTCTGTTTGATGCCCCCAGCAGTGGGTGCAGAGCAGATGGACCCAGGTTCAGATGGGATCAATTGCTACCTCCCACCCCTGCCATGCTGGGCCAGGTCAGAACCACCTCCCGACCCCGACCCCGCTATCTCAAGCCTTCAACAACTCACCAAAAATCCTAAAGTGGCTCTCCAGCCCAAATAACTGCCCACCCCTGCCCTGTTCCTAGTCCAGTCCTTGCTCACTAAGCCTTTAGTGATAAGTAACAGCTGTGCAGGTGTGGGGCAATCAGAGCAGGTTTTTTGCCTTACTGTGTGACTGCTCCACTGAGCCAACCAACAGGAAGTTGATTAACATTTGTGCGGCTTTCAGCATAAGGTATAACAAGGCCTTCAGTTTCACTTTCACTCTGCAAGGCTTGGGTTGCAATTATCATATTACCTATGGGACAGAAGTCTGGCAGGTGAAAATGTTTCCCATTCCTCCAAACCCTTTTTACCCATTGGGTTTTAAAAGCAAAAAAGGAGAAACATTTGTACTGATTTAGATCTTGTATAAACTTAATATTCTCAAGTATGACTATCAGAATATTAGGGGTATTTTTTTAGTGTGTCAGCTCCTAAGGTTCTGAAATTATGCAAGAAAATCAGCTTTAATTAAAAAAAGAATACTCCAGCCTTGTAAGCAAGCAGGAAAAAGTTTGGAAATGTTACCCAAAATGTTGAAATAAGGAAAGGCAATTAAAAATAACCCCAAAGAAATTTTTTTGTTTTTTGTTTTTTTTTTACCTCTCATGATTTTTCAACATCTCATGATCTGGGTAGAACTATTTAATGTTTTCTGAATGTTTGTGATTAGCAATACTTTCCCAATCCTGCATTTCTAGCCACATTGACCTTTCAGAGACTTTTTCAATATTTTAAACACAGCCACAGATGCTTCAACACAATGCCGAGAATCAGGACACACAAGTGGGATCAACCTCAGGGACCGATATTTTCCTTTTCAGCTAAGTCAGTGTTTTGTTGCCATGGGGCATTCAGGCAATTGCTCAGACTACTTTTTGGGGGCAAATTTCAGCTTAATTCCTTTGTCATTTGCAATTAGAGACATTTATATGGCAGCAAGGAATCATACAAATGCTTCAACAGATCAAAATGTCTTGCAGAGATGCGTGCTTGTAGTATTAGCTACGCTTGGCTTCTATGGAAAAACTCCATAACTGAAGTGAATGTAAATCTACCAAGGTGTCCTCCTTCAGCACCTTAGATTCAGCAGTCACAGGGTAACCAGCAATTACCTTGAAAACTGAGACACTGTTGCAGAGCAGGGAAGAGAAACTGGCCAGGTGTAAACGTTGAGAAGCAGAGACTTCCAAAGATATTCTGCATCCTCAATGAGCAACTGCTGTTTATAGAGAAAGGAGGCTCTGGTGGGTTAAGGCATCTGATTGGTACTCAGATCTTGGCTCCACTCCCAGGTGTACTATAGACACCTGGGGCAGCAGTACTACAGACACCTATGGCAGTGGTTAAGTTACCTAATAACGTTGCACTTTGGGTCCCCTGTCTATAAAACTGAGGTAATAGTTCTTACTTGCCTAGACTGTTAAGTGTTTTAAGGTAGGGACTAATGTTAAATGCTCAAGTTCATGAAAATGTCAGTCATTAGGGATGGGAGTGGTAGAATAACCTATAATTTAAGACCATTGAGGAAAGTGACCCAAGATCAATATAGATGAGAGAAGATGAAGGGTAGATAGATAGGTGGATATTTAGCATATGAGAATAGATGGAGGGATGGTTGCACATGTATGAGGAAAGACAGAATTATAGGGATGTAGCACTGTGCAGGAGTATAACTAGAGGTATGCAAACAGAGCATCAGCCCTGAGTACTGTCTTAAAGAGAAAGTAGTATGGCAGGCGCCGCCACCACCCAACCCAACCTTGATGTCTCT